GTTTATGTTTGTTAATAATTCCTGTTTATTTAACTATATATTTGTTAATACTATTGTTTAAATTTCTTATATTTTCATGTATCTTCACTCTCTTGCAAGGAGCACCTGTAACATAAATAATTTCCCCTCAGGGATCAATAAAGTATTTCCGATTCTGATTCTGATTCTGATTTTCCTGACCCTAACCAAGTGGTTTTTGTGCCTAAACCTAACCAGACCTTAACCACAGGGCATCATGATGATTTCGGAACAATGGGTTTAATATGGTCGGATCAATGGGATGTCGGACCAATGGGCAGACCCCAGACTCCAGTGTTGAGCTAACGTGGCTAACACTACATAGAGCAGACAGGGAGGCTGCATCGTCTGGTAAGCTCCGTGGTGGCAGTCTAGCAATATACACAAACAATTCATGGTGCTGTGATGTGAAGAGGATCTCCCAGTTCTGCTCTCAGGATGTGGAGTTTTTGGCTGTGAAATGTTGACCCTTTTCATCTTACTATTGCACTATATGTTCTTTCTTATATGTTGCACAAATTGTTTTTAAATGTTTTGTTTCTTTTTGCATGAGGTATGCGAAATGTCATTTCGTTTTTTGTGCAGCAGCCTAAAGAAGTTCAGTTCAGTTCATAACGTTATATATGACAACACAGCATCCAGTTGCTAATGGCTGTTAGCCTACTATAGCGTAGCCTCTGAAACATTAACGTTATCTTCCTTGTGCGTTTCCACTTACTAGTCATCACTGACTCCGGTTGAGTTTTAAAACTCTGGGGTTGCGTTTGACTGTCTTGGTTGTAACGTTACACTCACTCTCTTCTTCCGTGATTCTAATGTTACCTTGCCAACGCCTACGTCTATCACAGACGTAATGAGGACATAATGGAGGAGGGGGGAGTAGGCCTTTGGAGGGAGGTGGAGTTGCAGGAGGAGGGGGATGGGACTTTGGAGGGAGGCGGGAGTTGGGGATGTTCAAATTTTTTCTAAGTGCTGTGTGAACTGCAAGTAAGGTAAGTGTTGCTTTAAGTCAAACCTGAAAGGGTGGAAAACCATGTGGAAAACATGACTCCACACAGATGTAATGTTATCTGCTTCAGACTGTCTGCTGAGGCTGAGGATTCAGTGGACATTTAGGTCATATGCTTCATGTACGGCAGGATTTATTGGCTAAGCCTTTTTCCATTGTACTCTGTCGCATTATGTTTTTATTAGTGCAACAGCTTTTCCACCTCAGTCAAATGTAAAGAAAACTTAATGACTCACACACCCATACACTCATTTACTCACTCAGTTACTCCCTTATTTATCCACTCACTCACTTTGTCCCACAGTGACTCACTCACACTTCTACAACACCCATGAGTTGAATTTAGACAAGAAAGAAAGAAAGAAAGAAAAGAGATGCAACATTCTGTTGGGGGATTTTGAGATTCCAGTCGTAGTCTCAGTGATGAGCAGATCTACAGCGCAGATGGTGTACTATCTGTGGAACAGCGTGACTCCCTTCATTTTGATATAAACCAGTTATGCAGTCACAGAAACATGATGAAAGGTCATCATCCAGCTGTATGTTTAACGTAATGCTAAGAGCTCAGCTCAGCTCAGGAAGTGACTAGCAGATAAGGAGAAATGAAATAAAGGTGTAACACATGATGTCAGCCTACCTTCTGCTCATCCAGGTGGCGCAGCAGTAAGGAAAGGCAGACACAAGTTAGAGCAAAAGCTGAAAAGACACAATGAAAACATCTCAAAGAAATTCTCAAACAAAGGTACTGACAAAGGTAAAAAATAAAAAGAAGAAAAGAAAGGAAAAAAGAGAAAAGTTTTACATTTTATATCCTTTACCTCCAATCAGTTGACAAGTTAAAACAGAATTATGCCTTTGCGGTTGTATGCCTCAGTGAACCAGTCAAGTTGCACTTAAAGTTTACATCCATGTCTGTGAAAACATTGATGCTTTACACACATCTTTCCCCCGGCAGCACAGAGGATCTATACAATCAGCACAGTTTCAAGATGGTCACCCAAGATGAGCATCACATATTCAATATCTGACCAAATGTCTCAACCTCTGTTCCTGATCTATGATGTTAAATTATGGCCAGAAAAGGGTTTTTGCATAACACTATGATGTCACAGTGAAGTCGACCTTTGACCTTTAGCGAATGAATTACTGAACTATGGCAAAAACATGTTTTGTTAGTTCACAGTGACCTTGATGTTTGAACTCCAACCTCCAACTTCTAATCAGTTCATCGCTGAGACCAATAATTGTGTCAAATTTGAGAAACACCCTCAAGGCCTTCTTGAAATATCAAGTTTACTAAATGAGACAGACTCAAGTTCACAGTCACCTTTGTCCACCACAGTTTACACGGTTCACTGTTGAATTCTAGTGAGCATTTGTGCCAAATTTGAAGAAACTCTCTCCAGGTGTTCTGAAGATACCTAAAGAACAGACCTTTTGATTGGTATTTCTAGTTTTTTAAACACTTATGGCAATGACATGGGAGTGTCCATGTACAACTTTATTAGCAGCCAAAAACAGTATCTACATGTGTTTATGCAGTGTCACAATGACAGTACAAAGTATATGTCTGATGAGCATTACCTGCACTGGTGTTTAATTTGAATGACAAAATTAGCTGTAGCTAAATTGGCTGATGCTTAGTGAATTTAGCTACCACTGATTTTAGGTAAGCCAACTACCACTGATCCTAAACCAATCCCTGCCCTTGACATACATGAACACGCACACCTCATTATCATAGAAACATTACGAACACTGGAAAGTTTCCTGTAGTGAGGAAAATAGGAGATGTTTGGTGGGCAAGGAAATCAGTGCATTACTGACCAAAATGCTAAGACCAAAATATGATACATTTTTAAATGAAACTAGTAAGTCAGAGATCAGTAGAAGAGTAAAATAAGCAATAATAATTAAGTTACAATACACTTTATCAGCTGAATCAACTTTTTAACCAATCAATTGGACCCTAAGTTTGGAAACCTGCAGAGCTTTATTTCTTTTTAATTAATTATTTAGTGAACAATATTAGTTAGTCATGAATTTTCTTATTTCATATATTTTTTCCATCTCTTGCCAGTTTCAGACCTTCAGACCAGTTTGGTCATTATCTTGTGGAACAAATTAATAGGATTTCTCAAAGGCTGCTTACATGTTTTGAGAGGTTGGAGCTCCTGGTATCCACATTGTACCTGTAATTTAACAAAAAGACAGTAGACTTTAGGTGTTTTACTTTGGAATACATACAGCTATCCACTAACAACACAATGCAACATACATTCTGGTAAGAACAACAGAGAGAGAGGAGTCTGAAAGTGGAAAGGGACAAGTTTTTTCTTAACCCTTAAATGGGTTCATCATTTCAAAGGCTGTGGGGGAGAGTCACTAAGTGGGTGCACTTTATATCATGAGAAGCCCTGAAGGTGGGGATGGGTCAGCTACTCAGGTCATGTGGCTTCATGCCATCATTCAAAAATAAACTGATCATTTGTATAAAAATCCAAAATGATACATATTTTATGAATGACATATTTTGTATGTTCTTGTTGAAAAATAATGAATTACATTTTTACAACTCTGATAATTGCCCAGATAAGGGTATAAAAACAACAAAAATATTGTTATGTTTTGGGGCCTATTCTCTACAGTAATCAATAATACAAAGGTGTGAAACACTGATTACTATTTTTTTTTTATTCTCATTGTATTGCCACCCAATAGTTCAGTTCAGTTCAGAGGAGGGAGCTGGTGAGGAAGACAAGCATTGGGAACAGCAGGAGTTCAATTTGAATGGTAGCTCTTGTGAGGAGGGAGCAAACCAGAGTGAATTAGGAAAGATTTATATGTTGAAGACAGAAGTACTGAACATTGTTCTGTAGAAGATGCAGTGGTTTCACTGTACATACTGTACTGTATATGTCTGTCTGCAATAACACCTGGTGTGTTGTCTGGTGAAGTGTCTTAGTGAATGAGAGGAGAAAAGGAATCATTCCTTTATTTCTCTCACTGTCTCTCTTACACACACACACACACACACACACACACACACACACACACACACCGGAGTTAGTATAAAGTTACACAGAGGAATAGAGCACCTACTACTACACCAATCTGCTTCCCTGCACCAGACAAGTTCTCGACTCCACCACCAACTATCCATGATAGGATAATGTTGGGACATCACAATGAAGATGATGGTAAAAACATAGGAGTAAGATATTTTGTTAATAAATGTTAATAGGTTGTTGTTTATTCAAAAACTAGATTTGTTTGGAGGTTCAAAACATACTAAATATAAAACTATTGTTCCGTTTTGTTTTGTTTTTTTCACATTTTGAAAATTTTGCATGTGAAACATGAAAGAAAGTAGCTAATTAACTGGTTGCAAAATGTTTTAAAAGTAGGCACGACATATTAAATGAGGGGGGAAATGTTGAATTTATACCCTAAATGAGGGAGATACAATATGTAATTTGAAAAATAAAGGTCATATTTTGGAATTTAAAAAAAAAAAAAAAAAGGAAAGTGTGACAATTGTGCATGTCTGTGTATTTTGGGGCCTGTGAGTACATGACAGTAGAGTGAAAAAACTGAATTTACCATTAAGTATTAATAAAGTATATCTTCTTCAATTTAGCCTAGATACATTAGAAAATAGGGATTTTGGGGGTGGTGCGGTGGTAGAGTGGTTAGCATTGTTACCTCACAGCAAGAGGTTTCCTGGTTCAAAACCAGGGTGGGGGTTTGAACCCCAGGGTGGAGGAACCCTTCTGTGCAGAGTATACATGTTCTCCCAGTGTCAGCATGATTTTTTTATTGATATTTATTATATCTATTTATCATTATTATTGTTATTATCATTATCGTTGTTGTTTTATTAATGTTATTGTTATCTTTTGTATTTGTTACTACATCTGATGAGATATCAATGCAAATAAACAACTTAGCTAATAATAATAATAATAATAATAATAATAATAATAATAATGATAATTATTGTATCAATGTCCCAATGTCAGCTGGGTTAGGCTCCAGGCCCACCCGCAACCCCTAACTGTTTAAAGGGTTACAGAAAATGAAGTGGCACCCTAGGTGGCTGCCTAGGTTGTCTATAGGAAGATCCACCATAAAATGAAGGCTTGATATACAGCACAAAGAATGTGCATCAGCCATTGTGCACCTAACACAGGAAAAGTATAATGCTTTTGTTTTCCTCAGTAGGTATGTAGGTAGGTAGGTAGCTATCCTGGGTTACCAAAGGGTACCAATATGAGTTCTTTGCAGTTACTATCTCCATTAGCATAAAGGGTGCATGGTGGAGCAACCAAAGTATCTGTGGATTCACATAAATTTGGAAATGTACATAGTGTGTCCCATGTTTCTGGTAGTTACTAGGTTCTGAGGAAAAAAATGTGGTGGAAGGTGGAAGGATGGGTTGGGTGGGGGGTTGTCTGAAAAGAAAAACAAGGAAAATTATCCCTGTGTATTTAATTTTACAAGCAACACAGAGATAATGGACAGCTCTCCTGGGAAAACTAAAGATAAAAATCATGTATGCCAATTAAATAATTAGATATGGCCTGCATAGGAGAGATAAGTGATGAAAAATAAATGTATGGATCTGGAGCAGCATTGCTATACTGTATAATGAACTCTGTGATCAAGTTGCAGATTGAAGTCACTTCCTCTCTGGCAGGAATGTGGTTTCTTTTTCTTTTTTAAGGCTACTGTGTCCCCAAGGACTTCCTCTTAAGTGCCGTCACCAGGGGCTTCTTTGAAAGGACCCTGTTCATGTTTGACAAAGGAAATCCACCCGTGTGTCGGATAACATTGCACAGACATCATGTATTCTTCAGCTCCTCACATCTCTCTGGATCTCTCTCTGTCTCCCCCTCTGCTCTGCTCATTTGCTGTCAGCATCTTTCTCAAGTCTGCAGAGAAGACAGAGGATGACACTGAGCTCTGCAGAAACCTGCCACAATCTTTTCACCTGTTCTCGGATCTCTCTCTCTCCACTTCAGTTACAGAGCCACATATTTAACCTGACATGCTAACTCCTACAGGAGTTCCATGGCTGCCTAAAGTAAATGGAGCATGGGAGTCTATAACGAGGTTGTAAAAGAAATTCTTTATTGACTCAGAGGAGGAAAAGCACAGAGTACTGAACTGAGCCCGCTGCTCCAACTTTACTATAAAGATGCACTGTACATCTCAGTAGTGTTCAGCTCTCCAGAGAGCAGGCAGGCTTAAAGTAGATGACTGACAAAGCCTCTATATTGTAGTTTTTGTGCCGAAGCCCTGTGGACCAGCTGCTCCCCTGTTAGCCCCTGAAAGCAAAGCTAAAAAAATAAGACTGTCAGACTTAAAAAATTTCAACAGCAGAGTCTTCAGTGTCTACAACACTTTAAACAGTTGGCACAAAAAACTTCCCCAGTTGCTGAGGCTTTTCATACACTCTACAACGATTTTTGCATTTCAAAGGGAAACAATAGTCTGTAAGAGCAAATGTTGGGAGGACAGTTTGTTGTGTCCCAGGCTCTTCTGCCTTGTTCTCCCTTCCCCCTGTCTTTAACAACTGCCTTCCCCCATCTCCTAATATTTGTTTTTACATCTTTTTCCCAATTTCCTATAGCTCCTCTTTACATGGCCTCCTTAAAGAAGACAAACAGATACATAATTATACAACTATTTAAGGCTGGGCAATATATTGATATTATATCAAGACAGACTGTTCACATAAACTGTTCATACACTTTCCTATGAAAAGTAATGCACCCAAATTTGTACATATCCCACGTAATAATGAGCCAGTAATTCATACATAACCCACATATTTTGTGAAGGGAGTAAAGAAGGAAGTGGTCCTGAGTGGTCTTGCAGGTTGGGGTGGTGGATAGGTCACAAAACACAGGGCTTTCCTATGGAGATGGGTGTTCAAAACCATGTATGTCCTCACCGTCTTAACCCCTAGCCACAGTAACTTTTATTGCCTGAACCTAACCTCTGTAACTTTACGTTAATTACATAAGTTTAGGTTAGGGATGGAACGTAATTTGTGGGACGCTAATCATACAAACTGTTGTGTGCGCATTTTCGTAGGATGTCATGCAAATCATTCTAGGAGGATAAGTTGATCAATATTGTGATGTGGGACTAGATATCGTTTCAGATTTTGTACTGTATGTTGTAATATTGGAAGTGTTTTCTTTTCCTGGTTTTAAAGGCGGCATTACAGTATAGTAATATATTTTCCAAACTTGCGTTATTTGCCTTTACCCACTTAGTCATTACATCACATTATATGGATGATCATGAAAAATCTCATTGTGTAAATACTTTGTGAAAGCAAATAGTCAAACCTAAAGTGCTGTTGCAATATCGATATTGACGTATTTGGTTAAAATAGCTTGATATTGGATTTTCTCCACATTGCGCAGCCCTACAACTGCTTTTGTATTTGTAATTTGGACCGTATCTGTAAACTATTCAATGACAAAATGTTTAACTGAACATGCAGAATGTTCACTGTCAACATGTGTTATTTATTTTTCTATAATATCCGTAGCTGGCATCTATAGCAAGATTAATTTTTTATTGTTCTATTTCAGCAATTTAAAGCTCTTCATTAGCTTAAAGAGCCACTGTGTAAAATGGGTTGAAAACCGTTGAAAACAGTGACATCAGTGGTCAAATTCTAGATTGTAGGGCTCACTTGCTCACCCCTCGTACAGACAAAAAGCCTTGCGCAGACAAGAGTTTTTCAGGAGTAGGTCTATCTAGCGAAGAGGTGAATGTTTATTTAGAAATCTAAACCATGTTATGATATTGTAATGAATCCCTCACGAGCAGGAGACCAGAGGAGCGTTCAGGAAAAAGGCCAGTTTATTTGAGCACTCCACAAACTCCGGTAACACTCCAGGGGGTAAAAGACTCCGTCCCAAACTCTGACTCTTCTAGCGTAACACACACACTCCATACACACATTCTCGTTTACAATACCTAGCGGGGACCCCCTCCCCTCTCTGCTCCACCAATCTCCAGCCCGCACACTGACTGACAGCGTAGCCGGTAAACAGAGCTCAGCTGTTTATTTAGCCTAGC